TTTGGGGCCAGGGGAACCTCCCCCCAAAGGGGGGTTGGTTCCCCCGGGGGGGCCCCGGGGGGGGGAGGTTTTTTTTTAAAGTTTTTTTTTTTTTTAGAATTTTCATTTTTTTTTTTTTTTGCCCTGTTTTTGTGATGGAAAAATAAAAAAAAAAAAAAAAAAAAAAAAAAACTCTGCTCACCTGTGGCACGCCGAGGGAATCCATGCTCCTTTGGTGGGAAGTTCACCTGGACCGCAAATTCAGAAATGCTGCCTCTTTACAAATGAGGCATCAGAAGAAGGTGTGATCATTGCCCTCACATCCCTCCTTTAACACTTCTGTTTACCACATAATCTGGACACACCTTTCAAACTTTGATTAACCTTACCTGTCGCTGGTGTAACATCTCTTCCTGCTCTGTCGCAATCCATTGCTCACACTGTACCCGGCCATAAGCCTGGAGCTGATGTGGTCTCCCTGCGCCTGTACACCTGCTGCTGGCAAACTTGAGCTCACCTGAAATGCTTTGCAGATTTTACACCCAGAATCTATTACTAGTTCTTCTATTTTCTTGTGTGAAGAAGTGACCATCCGCAGACCTTTGCTGAGAAAATCCTTTTTATTCCCCCATCCGTTAACATTAAAATGCCTGTCACTCCAGCTGGTTGACTCTTTGATTAACTGCGGGAGAGGACCCGCGGGACCTCATGGGAATAGCTGGCTCGCGGGAGGGGTACAGGATGTGCCCTGAATCAAAGCGGTACAACTTGAGTTTGTGGTCGTGTCAGTGTTCTATTTTTGGAGTAAAAATCTATAGATTTTTCTTTTTAACAATAGTTACCCACTGGTCAATACTTCAGAGATCAGTCGACCTACAAAGCAGCCGATGGGAGCTTAGGGTCAGTTCAGGTCAAGCTAATGTACTGGACTTTCCATGGATGTTTCGATAGTTGTGAGTGACAGGCTACAATCCTTTTCTATTGCTTGTTTAAATGTCACAACAACTCGTGAATATGTTTTCATGATTCCTATCCGCCCTAATATACTCCCGAGTTCCTCATTTGTTTGGTGCACCTCACTAAAAAATACTTTGTATTATTTCTCCACATTTCATCATGTTATTACCACAAATGATATTCATTTTAATGAGATTTTATATGATGGGCTGACATGAAGAGGAACTGGAGTAAAGCATTGGTTTGCCAATCTTTTGAGGGATGTTTCTCATTTTGAGACTGAAATCGACTGAATTTGATTTTTATTAGTACATCAATCTAAGCTACAAATGAGGGATAAAAACGAGAATAACTTCCCTTTTTCTACACAGTTTTGTCCCAACATATCTCACAAAGCACAATCTTACCAGTATACGTAACTGACAGAATGGTTTGCCCAGCTGACCCCTCTGTGACCCAGTGAGACTAATGTCAGCACACATTATCCCAGATAGCCCCCTGGGACTGGTTTAACAGAGAGCAATGATGAACCTGTCTGACAGACACAACTGGACAGAGAAGATGATATGTAATATATATATTGCCTCACACAGCATAATTCAAATTAAAATCGACTTCTCTAATTTGGTTACCTTACTTTTACATTTTTTGTTGTGTCTTGTAAAATCTGAAAAGTTTAAAGATTTTTTTTAAATGCAAGTCTATACAGAAAGCAGCCCAAGTGTAGGCTTTAGTGTTACTTTGCAAGTGCAAGAGCACCATCTAGGGCCCAAGTACTGCTATTACACCTTTAAGGAAAGCAATCACACTCCAAGCTGGCCTTTTGGTGTGAACCCTTATTTTCTATATCTATAGATATGGGGCATAACACTGTAGAATAGTGTTCATCTTCTTTGATTGGGATGAATCACCCTACCATAAAGCTAAAAATGATTCAGAGTTGGTTTGACTCCAAACCTCCCAAATTTCAACACAAGGCAGGTTAGACTTTTTCCCGTTGTTTTGAAATGCTGTTGCAGTGTGTTCACTACCATCAGAGGGCGCTAACTGACGATGTATGTTTAGCTTTCAAAATAAGATACAAATGGAAACTTGTTTAATAAGATGCATCGGAATTTTTATTTTTATTTTGTCCATGCATCTTAATTATTTTTCATTATCAAGGAACAATTGTGACCCTTTTTCCTAGTTGAACCGCTTACATGAAGCCAAGTTTTGTTTCTACTTCCGGGTTAAATAAGCGTCGCAGGCGCAATGACATTGTACCAAACACTAAAGAAGTCTGGCTGTTGTGTGGTTTCTACTTTGTTAAAACACATGCTTTGAAGAGCCAAGGAGTGCTTGCCGTGCCGTCAACATGTCTTCTAGTCTTTCGGGGTTTACAGAGGAGCAGCAGCGCAGAACAACGCAGGTAAACACACGCTTTATCTAAGCAGTTAGCCTGACACCTAACTTTAGCTTGCGTTGACTTTGGAGACAAACAGCCCTCTCCCCACTCGGGTTTTTAATCTCATCAGTCTGAGGCTGCAGCAGTGTGCTTATAATATCTAGAGCAGTTTAACTGAACGGGTTAATTTCATCTCACATTATCTAACTTAGAAATTAAATTAACTAGTTTCGTGCTTTACAAAATAATGCTTATGAACTTGGAGAAGCTTCCTTTTCTATCAGGATGGCCCTGTATATAGTTTCATCTATCTTTGTATCAACACTAATCAGAATCCCAGTCCCTACTGGGTCTCTGGTTAAAGACATGTTCCTACCATGCTTTGCAGCGTGGATGGTTTGTTTTGGTTGATTTGTGTTGCTACTTTTTCACCACACAAAGTGGTTTGTATGTTCATCAGCTTTACTCTCGTCTTGCTGAACATCTTCTGCCTCATACTTTTTTTTGGGCAAAATGGAGATGGGACTTCAGGTCCATCACTGATGGCTATTTTGTTGACAGATTCTCCCTCTCTGTCACCATAGGACTCTTGTCTTCTTCTCTGACTGACCCTCTCCTTGTCCAGTCATTTTAGGTAGAAGGTAGTGTGTGGATAGGTTTGCAGTTTTGCTATGCTGTTTGAGATATTGTAAAGTTTGGATATTCATTTATGTAGCGATAAACTAACAAGGGTTACAATTGATTGCCTCTAATTTAACATTCATGCAACCATCAGCAGGTGCCACTGGGAGAAAACTACGTCCTCACAGAGGAGGAGAAGAGGGTATTGAAAGAGTGCAGCCGTGAGAGCTTCTTCTATCGATGTAAGTTTAAATAAGAAATCAAAATCTTTTCTGCTTTTTGCCCACATGAACTTTTTACAATAATATTTTCCTTTCTTTCACAGCGGTGCCCTTTTCCGTGGTCAGCATGGCAATCACTCAAGCCCTAGTTGCCAGAGGTAATTTGCATCCCACCGTGAAATCACATTCATATGTCAATGTCACGTCAGTTGAACCTAAACGTCACATGGATCTGTAAATGTTTGTAGGGACTCTGACTCGGTCTCCGAGGTTCGGATCTTTACCTAAAGTGGCCTGTAAGTTAACGCCTCTTATGTCTGAGTGATAACCTTCACATGTCGCCTGAAATTATGGGGGGGAGATAATGTTGAATTGTCTGACTGTTGAAAGTAGAACGTATTTTCAGTGTTTTCCCCCCCCCAAAAAAAAAGTTTTTTTTTTTTTTCATTTCTGTACAAATAAGCTGCTGCGTATGCTTCATCTTCCAGTTGCTGGCTTTTGTGGCTACATGGCTGGGAAATTGTCGTACATGAAAAAGTGCCAGGAAAAGTTCAAGAAGCTGGAGAACTCTCCTCTGGGAGAAATCCTGAGGCAGAGGGCAGGGATGCCGCCGCATTTGTGAGTCGGACACACAGCAGGTGGCAGCCTCCTTAAATTCTCTGACTGTCTTTGTCTCAGGTTTTGCTAGCGACAGCATCAGTAGCCGCTTTTGTTTGTGTGCTTCTCCTCACAGCCCCGGTGGTCCTCAGTCAGAGCTCAGCGACCCAAACAGTCCGTCGTTTGACTCCATGTTCCAGCCTCCAGACGCTCCCGGCGCAGCGTCCAGCCAGACCAAGGATCACGGATATGGATTCAGCTCTGACCCTCCTGGACAGATGGACAGAGCAGATGACTTCAGTGCTCCAGGTTCATATCAGAAAAGTCACTGTTCACCTCAAACGAGAGCTACTCCTCTCAATTTCTCAAGTCGGCTTATTAAAATAATTTTTTTCTTTTTCTTTAAGCAGTAACTTTTTAAAATCATGCTCTATCCAGTACCAGTAAACGGCAAACGCCTAATGGCAACCGCTAAAATTTCTGCATGTGGTGCACAGCTGTTATCACTTTACACAATTGGTTGTCGGTCAGTCATAATTCAATTTTGATTGTTTATATGACGTAAATCTCTTTGCCTCTGTTCGCCTCAGTACAGTCGTATTTGGAGGAAGACGGAGTACCTCAGAAGAAATCGATCCTCTATGAGGACCTGAGGCTCAAAAACCGGGAGAACTACGAGGTGACGCTCACTCAGAAGGCTGACACAATGCTCAAAGCGCCCACAGAGAAGGTCCCAGAGAGAAGCAAGAAACCGGGTGAGTGGCTGCGGTTGGAAAGTCGTAGCAGAAAGTACAGCAAAGGAGGGAAAAGTAAAGAGATAGACGTGCATAGTTTGGATGGAAAAGACTAAACCTTATCATTTTCGGTGTTGCTTACGTTTCAGAGAAGAAGAACATCTACGGAGACACGTGGGAAGAATGAGTCCTTCCATTGGCCGGATGATGTGCCTGTGCTCTGACATCATCGATAACAGTGTGATGTAGGGCTCAAAGCTCTTCCTGTTCTTCTGCGTTTTTGATTCAGTTCGTGACCAATGTGACATTGACGGTGTGAATTAAACCGAACTGGTCGATGACTTGCTCTAATTTGATGTTTTTATTTGAGTTAATTTTATTAAACAATATCGGGTTATAAAATAGATGCATCGTTGGATAAAAAGGACAAATCTTTCTTTTAAAGGTTTTTTTTGGGGGGGGGGGATCAAACAGTTCTGTTTAAGAGGTTTGTTGGAAAACATTACTGAACTAAAAACTTTTTTTTTAAGAATTTTTTTAATCATATTTTGACAGTAGTATCACAAAATATCATGATGAAATTCCATATTGACCAGCCCTAGGTCTGGTCAGCCTGGCACTTTTTCTTGTATTTCCCTAAAAATATTTTATTTTATTTTCATGGATAAATTTAGTGGTTTTGAAACCATGACATTTTAAAACCTTGATAAATTCAACCACCCTGTTGCTGTGAGTAACTACAGCCTGACACTATTAATTAGTTATCGGATCACATACAACTAGAGGCCTTTTGAAATATAGATTTATTACTGGAAGTATAAAAAGTTGTAAAACAAAAAAACCCAAACAATTTATTTTTTTTACAAAGAAACACCACATTAAAAAAAAAAAAAGGTATAAAATATTAAAATCATAACCGCATTTACCAAGTCCTTCACTTTGGATGCTGTAACATCTAAGAATGAAACACAAAGAAGTGAGAGGATTCGTTAAGCAATCAAATAAAAAACCCACAACTACTGCATAGGTCCATGACTATGACTGTGGCCATGGCTACAACTTTGTCCCACAATTTGATCTGAGAAATGTCCATGGTTGTGTCCAACACTGTGTGTTGCAAAATGTCCATGATTGTGTCCAACACTGTTTGGTGTAAGGTGTCCATGAGGAGGTTGAGATGGTGTCAAGCTGGCTGAGTGGGGCCAGCCCTCATACACTGTAGCTGGGGTGTGAGTGGTGGTAGTGCTGGGCAGCGATGCATAAGCTTGAACCGGGTACGATCCAGGAGTGGGGTTTATTTGTGGAAGCAGGGTCTTCCTCCTCTCCTGCGAGGATGCAGGGACGAACATGACACCGCTGATGCTCCTCAGCAACTTAAACAGCAGAATCTTCTCCAGAACGGCAGCCCTGGACTCAGACATGTCCACAGGAGACAGCCAGCCTTTCCCATGCACCCAGCCGATCAGTATGGCAATAACATTGCAGAGAAGCACACTGTGAGGGACGAGGGCCGTGCAGATGACGAGGAGCACCCAGGGGAGGGCCACCGCAGGAAAACTGACCCCACAGAGAAAACCTTTGGTCATCTTAGTGTGTAGGGTTGTCAAGGCCACACAGGCCAAGACCACTGGGAGCAGACCCTCTGTGTGCTGGCTGGCATCCTGCAGAAGATCCAAGAAACTGTAAATCACACCAGTAATGGAGGTGAGAAGGAGGAAGATGAACAGGAAGCGAACCGTGCCGAAGCCTTTCTCCACACTGCCAGTCAGAAACAGCAGAGCAGTGATGCTCAGCAGGAGCTGAGGGAGGCTTCGGTGGTGAAAGGGGAACAGGAAGAGGCGGTGTATGTGGCCGCTTTGGAAAACTGTTGCTCCGATGCTGAAGCTCTCCTCAGGCAGGCTGAGATGGGTTCGTATGCCAAATAAAACGCAGGAGAAAAGAGCCACTACGAGAGCTCCACTGGTGACAACAGGAGTGACATCTTTCACCGCTCTGAAAAGCTCATTAAAGTTTTTAGTTTGCATCTCGAGAGAAAAAAAAACAACATAAAAAACAGCGCAAGAAGCCCGCTGGATACGAGTAAAGCGGAAGCTTAGTAGAGTTAGATGACTTCTCTGCCTTCACACTTCCGGAATAGGAAGTGTAATTTTTACATTATCGGGTTTCCTTTTGACTTAAAAGCAGCGCCTGGTGGGTGAATACTCAGTTTACAGTCATCATTATTACTCTTTTGGGAAAATTTTTTACCTTCTTCTTGCTCAGTCGATCCTCTCGGGAAACCCAAGAAACCTGAATGGCTAGTTCAAAATCAGGAGGTAACAATAGCATTCCTTAGTAACTTTCACAATAAAAGTCATTCATCTTCAGCCTCCACTGAGACAGAATTCTGATAAAATCCAAACCAAAGATGCTGATAAAAAAAGAAGAAAAATTATAGAAAATAAAGATCTTGTACCTTTTGTAAAATTGTAAAACAGCTATATTTAAAATAAATATTTTATTTATTTATTAAAATATTTTATTTATGTTAAATATTCTGTCTATTTCTGGATATATATATATGTGTACACATACATGTATTTTTTTTCTGTCTATTTAGTTAGTAAGCTAGTTCGTTGGTGACAGCGGAACTCTCTGCTTCACTGATTCAGTTCCCAGTCGGACCTATTTGCGGATGTAACCGGAAAAGCCTCCGATTACAACTTCCACCCATGTGTGTATGTGGAGATTCCAGTGTGATCTACTTCAGGCTAGTTAGAATAAAGTTTCTCGTCTTGGTTTAGTTTGATATCAGCGGTGTGAGGCTGCCGTCCCGGGCTCGGTGAAAACATGGCGGAGATCGTTCAGCAGCGGATCGAGGACAGGATTCCTGAGCTGGAGCAGCTGGAGAGAGTGGGACTGTTCACCAAGAAAGAAGTCAAGTACGGAATGAGGCTTAAATATTTCTCTGGTTGTTGGGGAACTGTTCCGTTGAGCTCATCTTCGAATGAATCTGAATCAAGATGGATGATTTTAGTAAATGTCCACACAGTCCTGTGTGGACATATTCTGATGTTCTTCCCGCACATAAATGAAACAGCTTTTAATCATTAAAAAAAGGAAAACCTATTAATCTTTTTTTTTAACTCATTTTCTCACTATTAATATTAACCTGTACATGTCATTTCCTATTTTTGTGGTTAAACAGCTCAGTCTTTGACCACAAAATAGAAAATAAATAAACAGGTTAAAATTAATTAAATAAACGGGTCAAAAATAAGCGTTATAAATTGCCCTAACTCGATTGAAAATGTATGAACTATGGTTAAAAGCCAGAGTGTATGCCAGGAAAGCAACCAATTCAAATACCAGTTCTGATCAGAAGAGTTCTGAAGCCTCCATGAAATTGTGCGTTGTGCAAAACTGATTTGTTGTTTTTACATGTGATTGATTTAGATCTATAATCAAAAAGGTTACAGCTCTTGAGTACAAGCTCCACAGGCTGATCGTGAACAAGGAGGACTTCATTGCATACATTCAGGTAGAAGCTGGTCTTTATGAGCTGGGTTCTTTATATGTTTTTAAAGATTAGACATCTTATTTCTGTCCTTTTGTTGTTGCAGTATGAAATCAATGTCTTAGAGTTGATCAAGAAAAGAAGAGGGGTATGTAGCTGCTGGTCCTTACTACTAAACAGCTGATCAAAAATGGGGAAAAAAAGTCTTTTCTTACCTTTTGTATTCTTTTCCAGCACATAAACTATCATTTCAAACGAGATGAGATTGAATTCCCCATCACCCACAGAATAAATAGCATCTTCAGAAGAGCAACAAAGAAGTGGAAGGTTGGTACTGTTCGCACAACTCTTCTTACTAGAAACGTTTTACATGAATCACAATTTTAAAAAGTGTTTATTTATTATGTCTACTTTCAGCATCAACCCAGTTCCTCAGATATGAGTAGGAAAACATTTTAGCTCCTGTCTCTTTAAGATTCTTGCCTAATCACGAACCCTCTTCTGAAGGCGTCCGACATTAGGCATTCAGGGCAATATGGTTTAAGATTGTACAGATTTTATTCAGTATAACATTATGTGAAGTGTCAATTTTTACAGAGTTGATCCTAATTTCTGCGGTTACCACTAAATTCCAGGATTTCAACTCAAACTGTAACAGATGGTGACCCAGGCTTTGCCCTGTTAGTGCCTAGAGATGATCCCAGTTTGTTTATTCACCTGTTTTTTGAGAGCTGACTCCCATTTCTCAATAGAGTTAGACTCTGAGGAATGTTGGAAATCACTCTGATTATCTACAACTTGTGCCTGGATTTCTACAAGTTGATCTTGGTTGACGTCTTGATACAACTTTTTCTTCCTCATTGCAGCATTCTGACTTTCCCCACTCATAGATTGTACCAGCATGCTTCACTGTAGGAAAGACAAAGGATTTGTTGTTGCTCTCACATTTTCTTGTCTGAAGAAAATGTGAGATGTTTCTCACAGGAGGAGGATTCATCAAATAAAATACTTATAACAAGTCTTCTGCTATTCATCCTTGTGCTTCCTCCTGCAGATTTTCTTTTTCCCTTGATATTGTTCTTGGACAGAAGGAGCTTTTTGCTGCTCTGCTTGACAAAAAGGCCTTTGTCAAAAAGGCTTTGCCTCACTACCTCCAACATCAGCTGCTTATGTCGATCAATCTATGCAGCCGTGGCAACAGCTAGTAGGAGACAGTCCTGGAATTCACTGCACAATCTTTGTACTTTCTCCATTGTAACTTTTCTTTTAGATGCTACATTCTTAGTAGCACTTTTCTTACGACACAATTTTGCTGCTAAGTGATAATGAAGGCTTTTCATTTAGGTTTAGCATTCGGGGCTTACATCTCTGAAGTTGTAGGGGAAATGTTTGTTGAGTGGTTAGTTGAGGATTTTTAAGGCGACTCTTTCGGTGTCTTCAACTAGAATAAAACCAGATTGGTTGGTTTTGGAGATGGAAGCTAATGGCTAGTCCCACGGCGCAATGCTTTGTCACCTTTGCATTGGACAGACACTTACAGAAAGTGGATCCCAATTTAGACAGGATATAGAGTTTAGAGACCACTGACGATCTTCCTGTGTGGAACAAGTATTGAGAATGGAGCATGTAAACGGTTTCAGGTTGGAGCAACTAACAAAAAAAGGCATCAAAATAGCGTTCACTTGAGCTTCTATGACATTTTTGTTTTGTGTATCATTTCAACAATATCCTGATGTCTTTTTACGGACAGGACGATGTGCAGCTGTGGCTTTCACATGTTGCTTTCTGCAAGAAATGGGTATGTAGAGCTCTCTGAATCTCTTTTCATACTCACAGAGTTTACACTGCCATTAACTTCTGTTGGGCTTCACTCATCAGGAAACCAAAAGTCAGATCAGCAAGGTGTTCGCGTCTATGTTAGCTATCCACCCTGACAAACCAGGTAAAGAAAACACAGCATCAACGCAGAGTCCCAATATCGCTTAGTGATCCATGATATGAATACAAAAGAACTGAACTGAAGCTTTTTACATTAGCATTGTGGATCATGGCTGCCAAGAGTGAGCTCGAGGACCGAAATTCGTCTGAGAGTGCCCGACACTTGTTCCTGCGGGCGCTGCGTTTCCACCCAGACAACAAGAAGGTCTACCAGGAGGTAAAGCGGGCAAATGGAAAAGGCCCAAGTGTGCGAATGCAAGGATGAGTGCAATTTCTGTCGTGTTGTTCTGAATTCTCCGTCCCTGTGTGCATCAGTACTTCCGTATGGAGCTGCTGCACTGCGAGAAGCTGAGGAAGCAGAAGGAAGAGGTGGAGAAAGCCGATATGGATTTGGTGAGGGCTTTATCTTGCTAAAGAATCTCAGCTTTTCAGCTTCTGTCACGTTATACCTACACGTAACATTTTTATTGGGACTTGTGCGATAGGCCGACATAAATAGTTCATGATTGGAAGTGAAAAGCAAAACAATAAATAAAAGTGCTGCAAATTGTGCCGTGTCAATATATTTAACGCTAGAGTGCTATTTGTGTAGGACAGCCTTTCACTGTAATTTCATTTGTGTTTTGCACACATAGAGACGTGCCTGTCCATTCTTCTTTGTCAACCAGCTGCATTAATCATCTGTTTGTGTTGCTTTATTACATAAAATCCCAAGAAGTGACAGTGACATTTGTGTCGTTGTGACTGTTAAAAACCTATAAGTTTGGAGAAATGTTGCAAGGCACTTGACATGCTGTGTCAGCGTTTTCTGTTGATGCCTTCCAGGGCGAATATGAGTTTTCTCCAGAGATCCTCAGTGGAAAACTGGCAGAGGTTGTGTACAAAGATGCTACGGCAAAAATCAAAGGTACGATTTATGTTACTCTTCTTTAAAAATGTGTTAAATGTCTAAGTAGCAGTTTTAGTTAGTTTTTATGACTTATTTTAGCACAGACTTGAATATGAACAAGGATTTATTTGTTGTTGGCATTTGGGGCCCACAGAAGCAGAATTTGTCATCTCACTCCTGAACATAGCGGCCATCTTTGATTTTACCAAGGAACTCCAAGACTCCATCCTGCAAGAGTAAGAAGAAAACACAACTACATACGTGCTTATTTTCTTTCTTTAGCATCTGTCCGAGGCTGAATTATTGAACTCCGGCAGCACTCCATGTTCAGACAGCACCTTTCCTGCTTCCCCTATTTGCAGCTTGCAGGCCAACCACACAGAGGACAGCTTGACGTGGGATTTCATGGCTAAGAGGGAGTTGGAGGCCCCTGGGGTGGATGAGGAGCTCCACACCGCCAAAGGCCGGGCCTTGGACATCAACCGCAGAGAGGAGCGCTGCTGCCAGGTCTATGAAGAAGGCCTCAAGAGCCTCAACACTGGTAAGAGCTCCGAAAAATTATGATATCAATAAAATCATGGTTGGATTTTCTGTCTTAACATTGTACATACACTCCATTACATGTCTGGATAAGAAATTGCTGCTTTTTTTTTTTTTTTTTGTTTTGTTTTTTTTGTTTTGCTTTCAGAGCCGATGTGGACTCGCTATGTTGTTTTCTGCTTGGAAAGACTAAAGAGGAAGACCAACGTCCAGGAGCTCAAGGACAAAGTATGTTAACAACAAATTGCACTTTTAGTTCTTATGCACTGTTAAGTTTCAGGGGGTAAAATATTTAAGAGGCAGTGGAGTAACTTGCTTCACATGTTTATGTCTGTGTCACAGAGGCAAGAGAGGCTGTTGGAAGTTTTACAACGTGCCCATGACTCCTCACTGCTGAAGGAGAATTTTTACAAAAACTGGGTAAGACCCCTGAATATTCATTCATTGATGCTGCTGGCTTCACAGTTCACAAATTATGCTCTTAAAGCAAACCATTGAATGTGGGCCAGTCTTGACGCTAAAAGGCTTTAGAGCAATAATTTGAAAAGCTTGCAAGTTTCATAGATGTACCAAAGGAATAACAGTGGGCCAAGAACGGAGCTGTGGGTAACTCTGCACAAAGCGTTCGATAGCTTGTCTTTCCAAATAACTTCTCAACCAACCTATCTTTGTTACCGCCAGTGTTTTAACATTGTAATTTATTTTTTAGCTTTCATGTATACTGGCTCATTTTACTCAGATTAGCTTATTTACAGGTCCTATTTGAAGGAGGATTCTAGACCTAGTTTTGATTTTAAGGTTGGTAGTTGAGAGTAGAGCTTTACAGTTTATAATGTGACAATGCATTGAAAGCAATCACAGTGCAAGTATTGCCAGGAGCAGATAACAAGCCCAGTGTTTTTTTTTTTTAAGGGTAGAGATCCTGTTAAAAAGGTAGTAGAAACACCCCGAAGAGATGTTTAGAATCAAACCTGATGCTCTCTGTGTGACCAGCTGGAGATCCTGCTGTCATCTGGGCATACCGAAGCGGCAGCCAGCCTCGCCTTGTCGGCCACGCAGCGCTACAACCAGTCTGTGTCGGTCTGGAGTCTCTGTCTGCAAACGTTAAGGCATCTGGGGTGTGGAGACATGGCCAAGCTGTTCCACGACGCTCTCACACACGTTAATCCCAAGGTATACACACACAGTCACACATACATCCAAATAATTAGTCTTTATTTCTTATTCTCATCCGGTTTGATCATTTCCGAGGCGCACACATGCTGTTACAGTAACCAATTTAATTGCGCTCCCTGGAGAACAGAGTCACACACGTTACCCACTGGCACAGCAGCATAAGTAGGTCATCTCCTTGGCCCAATTAGTCTCTGCTCCATACCGTCCACTGCAGCCTCGGCCTGTATGTGAGACAAACCGAGGACCGGCTGAACGCTAGCTGTCTAGTATAAATGCAACACGATGAATTATTGGTGCATTTCTCCTCACACACATGCTTTAAACTCGGTCAAACGCCCTGATGGCTGTCTGCAGAATAGCTGCTTGTTGTGGTGGGGTTTCCCAACTCCAGCTCTGTAAAGTAGCTGCTTGAGGAGGATTACACATTTGCTCATTATGCAAGTCTTTCCTCTCTGTTTGCTCAAGTGTGGACTAGATGTGTAAAACCTCCAGGGTTTGAGGTTTGGTAATTATGTCTACTTACCTGTATAACATAAATACAGTTTTTAAAATATGGAGGTAAACATTGAGGTTTATTACAGATTACATAAATGTTGCTTTCATATTTTTAAGATTTTAAATGATTCATTTTGCTTCAGATCTCTTGATGTAATCGGTGTACTTAGTAACTAAATGTGTAAAAAATGAGTCTAATTTAATCTGGGACTGCTTGGTCACTCCAACAACTTAAAGGAGATGGTCCACATTTTCCACATCTTCTTTCCAGATGTGGAGCACACACAACTTATTATTTTTTCTGTCAGCAAAGATTCACACTGGAGCTGTGGGTCTCTGCAGCGCCTCCAGAGTGACCGTCAAGCTTTCATTGGGATATGTTGTACGAAGTCCTGCATAAAATGCAAAACACACCCGAGGTTAAAAGAAGAGTGTTCAGGATAGTGGTATAATGTCTTTTTGATTCTGGTCTTTCTGAACTTAAAGATGAATTTGGATTGTTTTGTTATATTTATTTAGCATTTCCTATTCTAGTATATTTAGAGTAGTACAGTGAAATGAATTCATTAAATCATTCTCAAAATCTTAAATCACGTTGTAAGGGTTTCCCCACTCATGCTTTGAAAAACTATGTTGACAATTTCATGAACTGCTCTAAAACTGACTCGCATATCGTAATTTTAGAGCAATGAAAATTAATCTGCATTTTATGTAAGCTTGTGGTGGTAACACTCAGTTATTTTGTACAGGAGAGTCTACCACTATGGCAGCTGCAGCTTCAGTGGAGCATGGCCGACCAGAGTGCTGAGGAGACGGAAGCAATCTTTAAGGTAGCACCAATCCTCCCCTTAAGCAAAGTGGCAAGTCTGACAGAGCAGCAAGACTTTTGTTTTGCTTTCAAAAATTGGACACAAAAGCACTCCTTTGTCAATTAAATTACAGCGACATGTTGCAGTATTTTCAGACATTTCATCTCTTTGCTCTCAGAGAGGTTTGCTGTCCTCTGTCCCGGCTATCGCCATGGAGGTGAAAGAGCTCTATCTCGACTGGTCTTACTCAGTTGGAGGATATAAGAAAGCCAGAAAGACCTTTACAAGGTAGTGTGCCCCTCAAACAAATAAAAACTAAAAGGGAGGGGAAAAAAATAGCGGAGGATAATCCTTAAACACCTTTCATGTTTTAAAGACAAATTGAAGATTGCTCACGTTTTCCCCTTTTTTCCGTAGTTTACAAGAAAATCGTCCGTTGTCTAAGAAGTTTTTCACCAGCATGATTCAAATCGAGAAGGAACAAGTATGTATGACAACTGTTTGGTGGTCACCTTGCTGCATTGATACAATCAACTATTTTCCACTAATAATTTGTATAAAGAAGAAGAACTGAAAGGAAAGAAGCGGTTTACTGATGCCTCGGGCCGGCTCTGGTCCTAAGTGTGTGAATAACTTTATTTGTCCTGCAGGAAACTCCGAAGATAAACAATCTGAGAGATTATTATGAGAGAGCACTGCAGGAATTTGGCACTGCAGACGATGGTGAGTCCAGGTTGAAAAACCGGCAGAAGAACTGTGAGTTAAAAACTTTTATTTATAGGTTCACGTTAAACAGAGACAGATGAGTAACGTCTTTCTCTCTCTCTGGAAAAGCTAGAGAATTTCAATAAAAACATTTGAGCAGAATTGGCTAACACCGAGGCTTGATTTAAGGACCATGGGGCATTACATTTGACTCAAGATCATAAACTTTTCAAACAGTGCTGCTATGTTTAAAGTGCAACATTCCTTTTTTTTTTTTTTTTTCCAAAGACCTGTGGCTGCAGTACATCCAGGAGGAGATGGGAGCGCTCGGCCAGCCAGAAAACTGTGCAAAGATCCACTGGAGAGCCATGAAGTTCCTGGAGGGGGAGAGCGTGGAGAGATTCACCTCCAAATACACTCTGCTTCAGACCGGACACTTGTGAAGGGAAATGAAAGATGCAGCCCAACATGTCAAACGACCACATCTGCATGTATTGAACTGGTGTTGCGCTAATAATGACCTAAAACACTGTACTGTAATTTAGAAAAAGAATAGAGATAGGTGCTTGAACCAGGTTGAAGGGTATTAATTGGTAACCCTCCACAAGTATGTCTGAATATGGACTTTGTTGGCCATTAGCTAAAATAAATCAAGATTTTTACCACAAGCAATTTCCTGAAATTTTGTGTAATTTTCAATACTGCTATATCATTTTTTTTTATATTTGAGGTCAGTGCCTTCTGCGACCAGAGCTACACAAAAGTGTAAACTAATTATATGCTTTTTAAATTTGACTTTGGGAAAATTGTGCAGCATGAAGGAGCCTGTTGATTCTTCTTTAGGGTTCTAGTCATGTTCCAGTTTAAGAATCCAGCAGTTAATTTAGTTCTGTAAATTCTACATTTCTTTTTTTACAATACCAACTTGTAAGGCTGTTATATAAAAAAAAGTTTAATCTGACTGCGTTTTCTGATCTCTCTATAATACCAGCACATAGATCCAGTGTTTGCCTTCGCTATAAATATTCTCATAGAAATTGCAACCTTTCAATGTAAAAAATAAAAATTCTGAAACTGTTTAAAAGTACAAAGCAAACCAATGTCAAACATTAAAATGGTAATAAACCTCCATATTTAATTACAGATTTTAAGGACACTTCTATAAGTGGCTTATTTTTACCGCAGTGGCACCTAAAGTCTTGGTTATGAGGTATACAATGTTTATCGGGGGAAAAAAGCACATAAAATAGATCTTCATATTCTATGCAACATGTCAACATAAAAGAGTAAGTAGAAAATGCAGTTAATGTGTAAAAGTACTTAGTTTAAATCTTCAAATTTCAAAACATTTTAAGCGGTGGACCACCACAAAATAGAGCACAATTATAAAGTGGAAATAGGTTTTCAAAAAAATGCCCCTTTTCCTACGAATAAATAAAACCCAGTACAACCAACAGCCTCCATTAGTGACCGAAATTAGCAGGTATCGTAACTCTTCATTAGGGTTATGGTCGTGGGAGTCACATAGCGCCTCAGCTCAGGTGACAAAACAACCAGACGCCAAATGGCAGCCCGGAAAACTTTACATTTTGAAATACAGCTGACCCAAATTAGTCCAGATATAACACAAGTAACAAAATGCCCTGACACTCAAATGTCCAGAATGTTACAAAAACTTAAAAAGTAGAAAGTGTGAGACATAAAAAAAACACTGAATGGCACATCATGATGGCACATCATCATGATGTGCCATTATGATGATGTGCACATCATCATAATGACACGACTGGGTCAGAGCAGCATCATGCTGTGGGATGCTGTTCTTCAGCTGGGGCAGGAGAAGTGGATGAAATAAAATACAAGGCAACGATGGAGGACGATGAAGATCTTTGTTGAAAAACTTGGAACCGTTTACTTCCTTCCATCCACTTCACAATTTTCAATACATTGTGCTGGTCTATCTCATAAACTCCTGTTAAAATCCATTAACCACCCATTTGATGTGAAAATGTTAATATGAAGCACACCAACCAACTGTAAAGTCTCTTAAACTCTGATGGAGCAACATGTTCCTGACCACAACAGAATAAATGTAAAAATTGGGTTAAACAAAAACATATCTCTGGATTGAAGTCAGGGGATTAAAACTTTTACAGTCCTAAACTTATTTTTTCTCCTCAGTCCAGCTAAATAAAATGCTAAGAGACACAAATGTTACCTGACCTTTTGGGGAAAAAAAAAGAAAAAAAAAGACAAACTGTAAATTCTGATAAATATCTTTCATAGAGAATGTCAATTTTGAAATAACTAATTTTCCAAAAGATGATAGATATGTTTTCATCTGTGGGGTGTTATTTGTGAAAAATAATGTAAAAAGAAAAAAAAAATCACATTTCCAACATAATGGCAAGAAAAAAAATCTATCACTGGTACTTTTAAAGTGTCATTCTGCTGAGGAAATTCAATAGTTATTCCATGGAAAAATGAAAAAAGAAAACATCCTAAATTACATTTACATTACAACCATATTTAAAAATAACTGATTTTTATCATTGTTATTTAAGTTACCAAATGCAACTATAAACTAAATTTGTCTGTAGAAGACTTCTATACTCTTAAATGTTATATTTCCCATGATGCTGACTGAACTTCTTGTTGACATGAACACGGAGTGAAAAGCAACAGCCGTCTTTAAAAGAATGTCAATAAGTCGAGTGACATTTCCTTTGGATGCTGGAGAGTTTCCTTATATTACCTGAGAAATATGTGTTGGATGTATGTTAGTCAACAGTGTAAATGCTTTTATTTTTATATGAATTCAATTAAGGCTAAATTCAAGGAGAGTATACTGAGTGTCTTTACCCTGTAAATTAACAGAGCATTTTAAACTTAATCATTAAATCAAAATGAACAAACTATTTAGTCAGACCTTCAAAAAGGAAAGAAAAAAAATAAATCAGGACAATGGAAAATCAACGACTGCTCTTAAAAAACTTGCTGAGATGATGACACAATAAAAAAGCAGCTTCCAATGTGGACGGCAATATTTTGCACAATTCTCTCCTTCAAATGTAGCAAACTGTGCAGAAGTGCATGTTGGCTTTCATCGCGGATAAACTACAAGTATCCCAAAATGCTCTCCTTTCTCACACTCGGCATCAGTCTTCCTCTTCAGGTCATCGGGTCAGAGCTTCTTCAAGAGGATGTAGGTGAAGAGAGCCAGCACGCCGGCAGTCAGCAGCCCGATCACACACTGATGGATGGTTATGACGTTCTCCAGGGCGTGGATGCGCTCCTCCATGGCGCTGGTGTGGATGTAGTCATAGATGGAGGCGCCGATGCTCCACACCGCCCACACGGCATCCACCACCGCCTTCATGGTGGGGGAGACCATCGAGAGTGGCCGACCTGCCGCCTCATCGGCTGCTGGTCTGCAGCGATGCTCTGCGGGGAGAGGAGAGGGCGACACTCACTGCAGCGTGTGGGCTGAGAACTAAACTTCACATTCAGCAACCAGTTTGGACTTGCTCTTTATGTGATTACCCAGTTTAATGGGTAATCACATAAATACATTATTTAATAGTTTGGGGGGGTTTTCTATTTTCATTTTTCAGTCATCGTCTGCTCATGTGTTTAATTTAGAAACAAAATCCACCATTATGAAGTAATGGGCTGCACTTGTTGACAACCCCTGCTCTCCGTCCTTTCTCAACATGGCAGCATTCGGTGTTCCTTTGTCACAAAGTGTGGTAGAAATATATACAACTATTTGTTGAGGGGTTGGGTTGGGAGATTTTGTTTTCCTCTTATGGTTCTGCCTGTCAGAGTGTGTTATGCCAATGTAAACTTCGGTCTTCATCCTTGTTTGTTGTTTTATCCCATTTAATTAGTGCCTCTAATGTAGACATTGACAGGTTTAAACATAACACTACCCTTCTTCCACATTTGTTAATATTTGCTGTTCAAAAACACAGTTTTTTTTTTTTTATTCTCTTTGACGTTAAGTCAGACTAGATGTTTCTTGTTTTAGGTAATTGATGATTACCTGTTTTTTTTTTTTTAGCTAAATGCTGAGAAAGATTGGGAGAATCTTTTAGAGATTTTTTTTGTTACTTTCTTTAAATGCAGACTTTACATATAATGTCACTGTGCCTTTAATCAACTTGGCAAAACGGTGTTGAAGACGGTGTTGTAGGTTTTCCTATCTAAACAGAGTGCCTCTTCACATTTGCTGTTTACCCTTTGCTTGTAGCAAACTGCAAGTAGGATTTCTTGGGGCTCTTTCAAAAGAACCTTCCTTCTCGCCACTTCTAATAACACCTGAATAACAACATATTTTCCCACCTGAGCTGTAAATGTCTGCAGCTCTTCCAATGTTAGGACTCGTGGCTGTTTCTCTGATTAATGCTCTCGTTGGCCAGCTTGTCATTTCAGGTGTACGGTCATGTCTTGGTGGTGTTTCAGTGGGGCCAGTCTTTCCACTTTTAGATTAATTAGTAGATTATCCCTTATCTCTGTGCTGTGTTCCTTGGTTTTCATGATGCTGTTCATTAATGTTCTCAAAAAAAAAAAAAAAAAAAAAAAAAAAAATATATATATATATATATATATATATATATATATATATATATATATATATATATGAGACCTTCAAAAAACTGCTTTATACTGACATTAAATGAACTTTACTAACTTGCAGCAATTGGACACCTAGTTTTAATCAGGGGCTACAAAGTAATGGATACAAATGTTTGTCATACGTTTCTGATTTGTATTTGTAAGAAAAACAAAACAAAAAACAAAAGAAAAAAGTAATTTGTGTTCTACTCTAAGCAATGACATCACTGTAGTTTGTGGTTTGACTACACAAAATACAACTTGACAGCCTTCGCTTGCTGTTTGACATACAATCAGCAAGTCAATCAGTATGACATCACTGTAAAAACAATGATTAACACATTGTGGCTTCTATATATACACAGTTGTCACCAGGACAGTTTGTCCACCTGTTAAAGTAACAGGAACAGCTGTTTATCTCTATACATGCAGGCTCTGCCTATTCCTGTGATTCATGCAACACAACATAGGTTTACTGATGACATGGTGACGTCATCAGTAAACCTGATGCCGTTGTCATCACCAGGCCATCTTTTTATTTTTATTTATTTTTTATTTATCATGCTCAAAAAGCGTCAACATGTCAGGTCTGAATCTCCACTGCGTCCTAACTTTCAGGACATCAGCAACAAGGCGATGGCAGTGTGACGTACAGAGAAATCCAGCTGAGCCCTGGAAGACGAGAGGAAGTTTATGAAGTGAAACTCACCCACACGGTTCAGACGGAGGTCAACATCCGCCCCGCTGGTGCTGAATTATCCTGTTTATAAGAAGCCGGGGTGTCCCCGTTAGACACAAAGTCTGACATTGCCATTCCACAATAAAACTCACATCGACAGCACGTCTCGCTTCCGGGCAGGGTGTTCACGATAAAAGCCCACCCGGCACAAGCGTTTTACGGCAAAGCCATCAGCAACAGGCCTCTGTCGTGAAATATTTTGAGACGCAGGCGTAAACTAAAGGGAAAACTCAGTCTGTTTTGTCAATCCACTTGTATCTTTAAAGACCCAGACATGAAAGCGCTTTTATTTTGAAGCAAACGACCTCGTTATGTGAAACACCTGACTGAAACCATGTGAGATGACAAAACAGAAAATCTGACTCGGAGAGCCTTGAATAAGATGTCAAAATAAAACAACAACAAAAATAAATAAAAATAAAATAAAAGTCATACGCAGGGGTAAATGAAAGTTATAATTGAAACGGTACGAATTAAAATAAACTGATAAAAGCTGCATATAAGCAAAATAAAGCGAAATGCAAAATAATTGTGATTTAGTGGATTGTATAGGAACAAAGCCCCAAACATTAAGCTGAATGGAGTCTAGGACCAGTATCTCAATTAGGACATCTCACGTGTCCTAATTGACCCATTATTGACCTTAACAGCTTTATTAGTGTAATTGTTCTCACCATTATCACTGGATGCCATATCATCACAGAGAGATATTGAGATGAGATTTTCCAAATTTCACATCTTTCCACTTTTTTGAGCCAAACTCTATCCTGTAAGAGATCTAATGCGTACCCCCTCAGAGAGAGAGAGAGAGAGAGAGAGAGAGAGAGGTATATCACTCACTACAGTTACCAGCTGCTTGCAAGTACTCAAAGTAATTACGTAGTCAGTGTCGCCAGAGGTCGCTGTGCACCAACATGTTGCTGGTGAGGGGAGATAACGGGAGAGGTGTGATGAACCCGGGATGTACACAGTCAGAATCGATAAAAAGGGGGGAACACCTTGAGAGAGGCGCAGACGAGCCGCCCCGGAGGCGACGTGCTAAGGAGGACCGGCGGCGGAGTTCAGCCCCGGGCCTGGGTGGCCCGCGTACGGGGGAGAGTCAGCGCGCCGCAGGAATATGTGCAGCTGAGAGGCACATGCTCGGACATTTCTCTGTCTAGAGCTCTTGATCCGTTTTCAAGTCCTCTTTCAGAACAACTACTGCGCCCCCGGACGGAAACCTATAATTGGACGCGAGCCAGTGACGCGCTGAAAATAACCAGGTTAGCGCACAGTACCGGTCCATTTTGGGGAGGGCCCAGCCAGCGTGAGGGCGCAGCACCATATATCACCTCCTTCCAGCTGTTTGGGAATATCCTGCTTGGATTTTTCGAAGCTGTAACATGGCAGTAGTAGCAGTAGCAGCAACAAGCTGCCCTTTCCCCTTTCCCTCCATCGTTCCAGAACTGGATGAGTGGACTGGGTGCGCACAGGGAATCTCACGGCGAGGAGACGCAGACGGGTTTTTTTTTTTTTTTTTTTTTTTCCTTTCTAAAAGGGAGGGAGGGCAGGAGATGGGTGACTGGCACAAGGCGCGACACTGTTGCATGTTGTTTTTTTTGTTTTTTTCCTCCCTGGACAGAGGGAGGAAGATGGGCCAGGGGTTGGACAGTCCGACTTTTCCCAAAAGACAATTCGTCCCCCCCCCCACCCTCTCTCCACTCCCAGAAGGGATATTCTTGCACAAATTTAGGATGCGTGCAACACCAAGTGATCATATATTAGTTGGGCGGCGGTGGCGCCGGAGCTGGGGCTGGACGGTGAAGTTAAACTTCGCTTACAAAGACGCGATCAACAGCAGGCAGACAGACAGGGAGTCAGGCAGCCGCACATCCACCCAGACGCCCCCCCCCCCCCCCCCCCCTTGGCTGCGGGATGCTGACACCTGTCCGGAGCGCAGGTAACCGCATACACACCGACAGGCAGCGCTTGACAGTGGGCATGCACGGATCAGCTCATGTCTCTGGATTCGATGGGAAGTCATGCGGGTTCAGGATTAAACCTGTTGGAGTTTTCCTCCACGGGGCTGCTGAAGGTGTGTGTCAGAGGCTGGGTCTTTGCGGGCAAGGTGAGTCCTCACTTCATTCAACTGGCCTACAAAGTCCCAGTTTCTGGCTCATAAGCCCACCATGACCAAGACAAAAACTCCTCTGACACGAATTTATATATAAAAAAATAAAAAAGAGGGAGAGAGAAAGAAGCTGGGAACAGATGCAGCATACCTTAAAACCCGCCTTAAATAAAACCTAAACTTTATTTTTACTCCAGCACATAAATGATTGCATAAATATATGCAGTAATATGTTTAAATAAACACTTATGCAAGGCTTTTTCTGGCCTAAAAAAAAAAAATCCTCTTCTCTTTGAGGTCTGATATGCCGATTTTTACTGATTCCCCTGTTCACCAAATCATAAAAAAAAACACATGGTCATTTAAAAATAAATCATATTTATATTCATATTTATTCCAGCATAACACGAGCCATTACTATATTTGGGTGGCTTAGTCTAGATATTTTAATGTATTACTTGTAAGGATTATTTTTAAATAAACAGAATATTTAGTTTATCGAAAAACAGTTTATGCTTATGTCAGATTTATATGTAATTTTTTTTAATTCAACACAAAAATAGGAAAACAGTACATCTATATCTATATAATTTAGTGATTTTTTAAATTTACATTTTAATTGAAAAACAACATGTCGAAAATTCTTTAAACTTTTCTCAATAAACAATGAAAAACAACATTTATTTACATTATATCGATCAAACCATCTTATAATTTCTGACTAGATTTTTGCATGTTTCCACTAGTATTTTTTACAATTTATCTTTGGAGGTTAGTTTCAAGTCTGAGGCTGGAACACCTCCTTGCCGTTACGCCTCCTTGCTCCCTCCACAAACTCTTGGTTCAAGTCATAGTTCAGGCTGGGCCGCTCCAAAGTATTAATGTTACTTATCGTCAGAAGAATGTTGGAAAAATGTAAAGTTAATAATTAAGAACTCTCTGCATTTTATTGTTCTAGGACATTTTCTAGTCAAAGAGCCACTTTTGCTCCCACTGTTGCAACATAAAACTCACCTAGAAATAAAACTAAAGCCTCAAAAAACAATTTTCTAAATATTTATTAGATACAATGTTTCATTATATTAACAAGGAAAAATTAAACTTTTTTTTTTTACTTTTAGATTTTAGAGCAAAATGAAAGCTCTTTTACAAAAAAAAAATGTAGAATGAGGCAAGTCTTTTCTATAAATCTGAAAAATAAAGAAATTTAGGTAGGATAGTTTGAAGCCAGTTACTTTTAAATGCCTGTTGTAGAAATAAAAAAAAACAACAACTCCTAAAATGTCCTTTTTTCTTATTGCATTCATAATCAAAGGCATTTCTTTTTTGATGGAGGACCACAGTGACGTGGCCAGAGAGCCACATGTGGCTCTGGAGCCGCAGGTTGCAGACCCCTGATCTAACAATTAGCTAATAGCTATCACTTTTTAAATGGTCTGTGGAATCAGTAGGCTAATCAGTATGCTTCAAAGAAAACCGGAAAGTGCAACCTAACATGCTTGTGTGTGTGTGTGTGTGTGTCTATATATATATATATATATATATATATGCTGCTCAAAAAAATAAAGGGAACATTTCACTTTAATTTTGTGTGTGGCTCCAAATCCAGGCCTCCATTGGTTAATAAATTTGTTTTCCATTGATGATTTTTGTGTGATTTTGTTGTCAGCACATTCAACTTTGTACAGAACAAAGATTTCAATGAGAATATTTCATTCATTCAGATCTAGGATGTGTTATTTGAGTGTTCCCTTTATTTTTTTGAGCAGTGTATATACACACACACACACACACACACACACACACACACACACGCACACACACACACAGTCAGTTTAAATGTCGAAGCAGAGGTGGGTGCTCTATTTATGCAAAATGAACAATTTCAAACTCCAGTCAAACTGGAGAGGCTGTAAATATTTTTTTTTGTATTTATTTTTTATTTTTAATCAAAGTAGACTTTTTATCTGAAGTTACAAAAGTGTCACATGCCCAAAGCGATTTACAAATGCCAAATCATGCCAAAAAGTGACATTGCTAGCCACCATTTATCTGTACTGCACTTGATTGGTTGCTTAAAAGAACAATTATGTTTCAGTAGTTACCTTAACTTGATTACTCTGGCCATGTAAGAAAACCAAAACCTGATAATTCTGACTGTGATTAATTCAGAGATGTGACGAATGAAAATTTGGAGCATGTTCACGAGCAGATCAGTTCAAGATTGAGCAAAAACAACTTAACACAACAAAGTTGAACATACACAGCTGTAGTAATAAAAAATAAATAAAAAAAGCAGAGGTCATTTTGTGAGAAATCACAAAGTACCACTAACTGTTATGTTGAACAAGCCTGTCAAGGAGGGGAGAAGAGGTCTGGTTCGGAGGCTTGTTTCTATATCTGTCCTGACCCCGGCATGCCGCGCATACCATGCTAATGAATTCAGCATCCTGACACTAGATGCTTTATGTAATTAATAGAGCGCAAGGCTAGGGTGGCATCTCCATGCTGCCAGTGACACATAGGTGAGACATTCGCTGAAGTACGGGATTCTTATTTTTAAAAACACAAGGCGGGCGCAGGCATTTTTACAGCCCACCTAAAACAGCCGTGCAAATGAAACAGGACCCCCGCCAAACTGACAGCACAAAAGCAGGGATGTGTCAGCTTTTATTTATTGAGCTGTTAATACTAATCACCACAGGTTATTTTAGGTGATGTATAACACATCAGTGGCAGGTCATTTGTTTTTACAAGCCTGCTATTACTTCTTGAGTCTATAAGAAGTTGCTGTGGACTGGAGTTTATGGAAAGTTGACTCTGGTTCTAATTGGATTCCTCAACACTGTCAGCAACATCCTAATGCTTATTAACGGCAATACGCCGGGGCCACATTTTACACTATTTCTCAGCTGCCCGTGGAGCAGATTTTAAAACAATCGTCAGAGCCCCACAGTCCTCCGCTGTCTCCGTTGTAGGTCCATAAAAACTCAGCGACACGTCGCAGAATGCAGTTTAGAAGTATAAATAAATAAAAGAGTGCAGCCAGGAGCTGTCCATATATGCTGCAAACCTTCGCAAGTGCAAGAGCCAAGGGCCTGAGAGAGGGAGGCTTGCCGCCTGGTTTGAATAAAGCATCACGGCTGCAGGGAGCTCTGGGATAGTCACCAAGTCCGCTGATTAAAATTGTGATATTAAGCAGTGCTGGCTCCTGCTGCTGCCTGCCAAGCTGCTCTCAGTGGCATTTTCATATTGTTTAAAAGGCCCAAACGGACTCATCTCGCCACTTGCTGTACAGTGCTGCTTTTACCCCTCTCCATTCGATCATATTCTCACACTACCAGCTTTGGAGCATTTCAGACCTGCTTTAAGTAGTCCAGTGTGGGTCAGAGAGCTTGTTTGTTAAAAGCCGACATGTGTAGCATTGCATAGGATGCATGTGGAAGGATTGTGTGTTTACTTCCACCGTGAAATCACACGGAGCGTTACTTCTTGGAAATTCTGCTCTGAACTCGTTCAACTCCCCTTTTAAAAACGTCACTGCAAATTCCAATAAAGCTCTGCCATTATAAATATGCAATTCACAAATGCTGGAAAGCAATCCAAGTTGTTTTACTACAGATATACGTGAGCCAACCTTTTCGAAAAGGTCAAACTCCACAGGTTGCGGTCACTTTCCTCTGCTTCGACTGAACAGACATCAGTTATGCTCAGAATCATGTTTGACAACCCGACAAGCGTTGCTGTTTGATCTCGAACATTTGGAATGAGAGACAAATTCTAGGTTAGGCAGGGAGGGAGAGGGGGGGGAGGGGGGGGAAGAGGAAAGGCAGCAAGAAAAGTGAGGGACTTTTAGGGGCAGCTGTGTTTTATTAACCCAGTCATAATGCCCCTAAAAATCCTTATTGCTCTTGCAATGGTCAACAAGGCTCCTGTTGCAACATGTCGAGGATCTCAGAGCAACATGTAGGGACATGTTGCGCTGCTGGCCAAGAAGCAATTGGGTAGTTTTGATCGGGTCACTGACATCACACTCAGAGATTTTGAACTAATAATAAAAGTCACAGAGTAACACATGTGAAGAGGGAATCAAACTTTTGATTAAATGTCAGTGAAGATAAGCTTGGGGTTGCAAAAGTTTGCGATATTGTCAAGGGGGGAGGGGGAGGCAGAATGACCAGCATTTCTCTACAAACTGTGGAAACATTTCTCTCTGGCAGTGTGTTGACTTGTGTTGTCGTTATGCATCTGCCGAAGTCGCCCCAGTTTAGTATTAATATGCAGATGGGGAAGCCGACACGCTGTGTCCTTCTGTGTTTTGACATTGCCACAAAGTACCAAGGGAGACGCTCCAAGACAGAGACAGAAAGGAAGAGCAGTTGTTATTCTAAAAAATATTTTAGAGTAGAACAATATAGAAATGCAGGGCGAACAGATTGACAGAACATCAGCTATGCATAAAGAGAGAAACAAACAGGCAGGAAGATGACAAGGAAACAGACAGAGAGGAGGGAAAGACTGAGAGGCAAGCGGGCCTTTCAGGGACTCCAGACTTGGGTGTGGTGTGCTGGACAGTCATGGCTGGAGAGTGGCTGGTATGGAGGTCTCGATATTGGTGAATGAGTCATCACAGGGAGCGTATTCGGTTGAGTTTCCCTGCAGAAACGGCTGCTGCTGGAGGAAGGAAGAATCCTCTTCACAGACAAGGGGACAGGGTGTAAGGGAAAGTGTGGATGATGACTCAGGGCCATGAACCACATGGCGATGGAGAGGGGAGGGAGGAATTACTCATCAGAGCATGTGGAATCTCATATGGCTATCACAGGACA